TGAAGGTAAGGAGTGATGTTTTGGCTTTTGCTGTTTCTCCTTCACCAGCCTGGTAGCTTCCATCGACCATGGCAGTCCTACTTTGACCTGATCTTGGTGGATGCACGGAAACCACTCTTTTTTGGAGAAGGCACAGTACTGCGTCAAGTGGATACTGTAAGTCAGGAGGATGATCTGTCTGCTAGCACACTGTCCTTAATGTTTCTCCTTTCCCCACTCTTACTCTCTGTAAAGAAATAGGAATTTTTTTTCTATTAGCCATGTTTCTCCTTTGAAATTAAGAATTTTGGTCTTAACTGAAGCAGCCAAACCAACCCACTAATTGAAAAGAGTAAGTGCCATTCACTTGGCTGTCTGGCCAAGTAGCACTGGCGGTGGGGGTAGAATTGGGGGGGGTTGTGGGGTAAGGGGGAGGATTGATAGGATGATAAAGTATTACAAAGTCCATATTCTTCACACAGAAAACTGGCAAGCTGAAAATTGGTACCTACACAGGCCCCCTACAGCATGGTATCGTCTACTCAGGAGGTTAGTCAGACTTCCCTTTATTTAATGTAAGTTTTTGCTCAGACCTCTCACTGTGAAAGCTTTGGTGATCTCTCAGCAAAGTACCATGTGTACTCTTTAGTATTCTAAGATGTCATCTATTGAAGTTAATTGTTTAGTCATCTCTTAATGCAATAGGGGTCTATGTTTAAGCAGTTGTTAGTATAGCTAAATGAATCTGATTTTCACTAAAATCATTTTTTTTTTAAAATCCTATTGGAGGCTTTTTTTCAGTACCTGGAATCACTTGGGGGTACTTCTCAAAATGTTCTCAAGGGTTTTTCAAGGAGCTCCGTGGGCATAGGTATATAGTATGTTGTAGTTACAAACAGTTGAATAAAGCCAGCTTAATGGCAGATTTGTGATGAAACTGGCAGTGGCTCTTTTGAAGGTTATTTTCACTAATATGAGGATACAGTTTTGTTGCTCTTGGATTTGCTGATCAAGAGCTCTGGTCAGCACAGTGGAGCTGAAGGCCTTGTCTTTGAAGGCAATAAAAAGAGAATGGTAAGTCTTTATTTTTTTCATCTGTTCCTGACATAAGAATAAAATGAGTCGTAGAATTTAATGGTTATAATACTTGGAATGCTGATTTTAATATAGAGACAGTTTTCTCAATTGTTCACTCTGTTGTTTCAGGTTCTTCTGATACAATCTGTGATCTGTTGGGAGCCAAGGGAAAAGACATTTTATATATTGGAGATCACATTTTTGGGGACATTTTAAAATCCAAGAAACGACAAGGGTGGCGAACTTTTTTGGTGATTCCTGAACTTGCGCAGGAGCTGCATGTCTGGACCGACAAGAGTTGTAAGCCATTTCATAAACCTCTGATGCACTGTATATCGAAATGACCAGCTGTCAATCAGTCCTCTTTGATAAACCATTCCTTTGTATTCAGAAATTCAGAGGTGGTCAAAAGGTGGGCCTTGATATTTGGATATCTCCTTCCCATAGAATATTCAGATATTTTACAGAACTCCAGAATTTGAATAAACATGAGAGGTTATCTTGTTTAACCTTCTTGAATCTCTTTGAAGTCAAGTATAGAATGTTGGTGTCTTGAGTTGTGTTACAGTAACACTGAGTTGTGAACTGGAACTCAACTTTTCCTCCATGGACCCATATTTCCCCAACCATGCCTAGTAGTACCAGTCTCTCTGCTAACAGCCCGTATCTGTAATTCTAGGGCAGTGATGGCTCTGAATGTTAATCACCTCTGGTATTTTTTATTTACTCTTCTGAGATATAGAGAATGAGGCCATATTGTATTCCTGAAGTAAGCTACACTGTGTATATGCAGTATATATACTATGCTGAATTGAGTTACAGATATAGTCTTAAAGCATTGTTTGATATACAAGTTCTCCAGCCAGCCTTGGTGCACATTACCTGCAGCGTGGTGAAAGTGACTCCGGAAACTCAACCTGCCTGGGGTAGGAGCCCTGGCTCCTTAACTTGAAATCTGCATGCCCTTAGGCAAGTTATTGAGACACCGTGTGCTTTAGTTTCCTCAAATGTAAAAATGGGGATAATACCTATCTCCTAAAGCTGATGAAAAACTTAGGTAATATGTGTGTAAAGAAGATAGACATGACAGCCTCTCTCAACCAAGGCTCCTCATCTGAAACACAGAAAATTATCGTTATTTTACCTAATGGAGCTGAATACAGAAAATTAAGTAATACTTTTCTCAGTTCTCCTAAAGATGGTAGATAGAAGAAAATGTGTTATATACAATAGATGGAGGGGGGCTTAATTCTGAGGAACCCAGGTTGAAATAGGCTGCAACACACAGGAAGCATGTTGTAGATCCTGACTGTTGCTGTTATTGTCTGTACTATCAGTGGGTTTCACATTTTCAACTTACCGCCTGTGAAGTTTTTGAAATCTGGTTGATTTGACCCTGGACCTGTGACTCAGGACAAGTCACCTAATTCTCAATATTTCATCTAAAAATGGGACTGTTAACACTTGCTTAGCTGACTAAACCTGAGACAGTATAAATTCTGGGCTGGAAGGGAAAATTGTAGTCATGGTGTTTAAGCAGGAGGAAAGGTAATTTAAGAGAAAATGATGGTGTTCACCTGTTATCGGACTCCAAGCCCGTATCAATGAGTTATCCTGATGAAGGGAAGGAGTATGTCACTATATACTCACCTATAGCATGTTAGTCCCAGATTATACTTTTCAATGACATCTGTAACCTTCTAGTTTTAGCAGCGGTTAAGAACTGGGTGCTTATTTATTTAAAATATCTTCCTTTTCCTTCCAAACCTTAACTAGCACTTTTCGAAGAGCTTCAGAGCTTGGATATTTTTTTGGCTGAACTCTACAAGTAAGTTTTCTAAAAATGTCTTTCCTAAAAAAACTTCTTCAGGAATCACTTAGATATAAGAAATGTTCTTTCCAGGCTGGGCGTGCTGGGAGGCTGAGGCAGGAGAATTACTTGAACCTGGGAGACGGAGGTTGCAGTGAGCTGAGATTGGGCCATTGCCCTCCAGCCTCGGCAACGGGAGCAAAACTCCATCTCAAAAAAAAAAAAGTTATTTCCAGGCGTGGCACGGTGGCTCATGCTTGTAATCCCAGCACTTTGGAAGGCCAACACAGGCGGATCACTTCAGGCCAGGAGTTTGAGACCAGCCTAGCCAACATGGCAAAACCCTATCTCTAGCAGAAATACAAAAATTAGCTGAGTGTGGTGGTGCATGCCTGTAATCCCAGCTAACTCAGGTGGCTGAGGTTGCATTGGGCTGAGATCGCTCCACTGTCACTCTGAATAACAGTGTTACTTTTAAAAAAAAAAAAACCAAAAACTCTTATCAGAGATGTTCACTGAGTTTTTCTTTTATCTTCAGGCACCTTGACAGCAGTAGCAATGAGCGTCCAGACATTAGTTCCATCCAGAGACGTATTAAGGTATCCAAATGAGATTTGGGAGGAAACTTGGGAAATAAAGTTTAAAAAGGATTTTTTCACATTTCTGATTTTTATAGAGACTGGCACTCAACTACTACTGCTTAATAAATATTTGTTGAAAAAGCTGAGAATCAATCTTGTTCTTTGTTTTAGAAAGTAACTCATGACATGGACATGTGCTATGGGATGATGGGAAGCCTGTTTCGCAGTGGCTCCCGGCAGACCCTTTTTGCCAGTCAAGTGATGCGTTACGCCGACCTCTATGCAGCGTCTTTCATCAACCTGCTGTATTACCCATTCAGCTACCTCTTCAGGGCTGCCCATGTCTTGGTGAGTTAAAGTTATAATTGATAGCCAAGATGTACTCTAAGCCCAGGATCAGGAACCAGCTTTATGAGATGGCACAGGAGATAGTCTGAACATTTCTTTCTGATGTTCAGAGCCCATGGGCAGGTTGTATGGTTGCCTAAGAAGGGGTCTTTGAGAAAGTAGAACCAAAATTGGAAGTCACAGGGTACAACTTTACTCTCTGAAGTCTACTCTATTAAAAAGTTTTATGTGGGCCAGGCATGGTGGCTCATGCCTGTAACCCCAGCAATTTGGAAGCTGACGTGGGAGGACTGATTGAGCCCAGGAAGTCAGGGCTGCAGTGAGCTGTGATTTGCTCCACTGCACTCTAGCGTGGGTGACAGAGTGAGACCCTGTCTTAAAGAAAATGTGGTTTTTATATTCCTATATTCTGATCTGTTTCGGGACTATTTTGTTTTTGCTGTGAAATAAACTCTTTTCCAATTTCAGGCTGCAGTAGACAACATGGGCACCATTTTGAGGGGCAGGGAGAGAGGAAGACAGGCAGCTAAAAGTAGTTCTGTGAAGATAAGTCTAAATTGACTTGTCCTGTGGTCCATTATTGGTGTAACTGCATGGCCACCTAACAGAGGAGAGGGGTTAGGATTTGGGAAGAAGCTACTTTGCTCTGCCTGCTTTCTGAGCCTCTGGCTTTGTTCTACCTAGATGCCTCATGAATCAACGGTGGAGCACATACATGTAGATATCAATGAGATGGAGTCTCCTCTTGCCACCCGGAACCGCACATCAGTGGATTTCAAAGACACTGACTACAAGCGGCACCAGTTGACACGGTCAATTAGTGAGATTAAACCTCCCAACCTCTTCCCACTGGCTCCCCAGGAAATTACACACTGCCATGATGAAGATGATGATGAGGAAGAGGAAGAATAAGGAGGAAAACCAAAACACCGAGCACCCATTAAACAAGTCCTGGCAGGACTCACAGGAACAGATGTCCCTGTTAGGGTTCTACTGGGGGGGAGGGAGGGGGGCTACATGAAAGGTACATCTGAAAAGTTTCTGAAGATTCTATTGTTATCATAGAGAGATACTTGTTTTGGTTTTGTGTATCTGTACTCTCTGCAGGTGGTCCAAAACTGTAATGGAGTCTGTATTAGAAGAAAATAAGGGTAAAACCAGGCTGAACTGCATGCTGGCTCCATTGTGGCTTGTGACACTTTTTAAAAATCATCAGTATGTCATAGTGCATCTAGATACACAAGGGGTGGTGAAGGGTCTCAGAGTAGAACAAAGAGTGGGAAGAGGTGATCTGAAATGCTGTAATGTTACAAATTGTGCTATAACTCCAAGAGCCACCTTTTTCAGTGCATTACATGGTGTATTGTATATCATCAGTGGAGAAATATATTATATCCATGATCAGCTGTAGTCTCTGTTAAGGTCAAGTTTCCTTTTTATAAGCCTTTAAATCATCCTCAGTGACTCTGGCAAGGCTGCCTCTATCAATCAGTGGCTTTGTACAGATGTATTCTCTACTTGCTTTAGGGTAGGATTCAATTTTGAGGGAAAAGACAGTATTCTTTATACTTTTTTTGTTATTGGCACAAATGCTTATTATTTGTTATCCAAAAACAACCTTTTCCTTATCTGTGATAAATCTATGGAAAGAATTTAGCTGTAAGAGGACAAAGGAACAAGTCCCCAGAAAAGAAAGGGAGGAACTTCCTTCTTATCCTACAGTAGAACATTCATCAGTGTGGGCTATATAGCTGTGGCTCATGCTACCCAATTCCAGATTTCTTTATCCTCTAGAGTTGACTGCTGTATATTAAAGTTGAACATTAAGAGGGCTCTGTAAGCCAGAACCTTACTAAAGCAGAGAGCACAATCAGTTTGAATAAATTCACTCAGAATCCCAAGTCGAGGCCAGGCGCGGTGGCTCACGCCTACAATCCCAACACTTTGGGAGGCCAGTTGGCAGATTACCTGAGGTCGGGAGTTTGACACCAGCCTGACCAACATGGAGAAATCCCGTCTCTACTAAAAATACAAAATTAGCTGGCCGTGGTGGCTCATGCCTGTAATCCCAGCTACTTGGGAGGCTGAGGCAGGAGAATTGCTTGAACCTGGGAAATGGAGTTTGCAGTGAGCCAAGATCATGCCATTGCACTCCAGCCTGGGCAACAAGAATGAAACCCCTCAAGAAAAAAAATCCCAAGTCGAAATCACTTCTTGTTTTAAACAAGAATGAATCGTTACTGTATATGTTAGGGTATTAAAACTGTTTCACCAGTACAGTGAAAGTTGTTCCAACATCTTAAACTGGTTATATAGACTCTTAGTTTAGCCATCATATATTTTCTTCTATTCTTGTCATTGGTCAACAGGGGAGGGTAGATTAGCTGCTCTAGAATTCAATAAAGTGTAATATTTCTAATGCTGACTTTGACCTATTCTGTAGCACAACTGTAACAGCTATTGGTCTTCAGGTGGGTTTAGATTTGGTGTAGTAACATCAGTTTGACATTCTCTTAAAGGAAATATGTATTTTCAAGGAATGTGAAAACGTTCCCGGATCTCTTTTGGTTAAAAAGAAATATTCAAGAACTGATATAACATGATTATATTCGTGGTATTTCATAGGCCTCACAGTTTTTTCCCCATAAAGTTTTTTGTAACAGACTGTGAAGTGAGGCTTTTAAAAAAAAATTCATTTTATAAGCAGGGAACATAGCCCGATTACTTAGTAGTATAGCCTCACTACTTTGGATATATATGGCTTTAGAATAAGTCATCCAAGAAACATACATTCTAAATGGTATCTATTGGGAATATATGCCCCTTTAAAAGAATCAGGTCAGAAATGCAATTGCAATAGCAATTAGACTGTTGCCCATGTTAGGAGACTGTGTGGTCATCCCAATTACTAATTATTATCATTCAAGATGGAGATGTCCCAGTTTAAAATAGTCCCAAGTTTTCTTAAACCCAAATACTTTATGAATATATTACATCTACAGAGCTACCTTATCATAGTAAGTATATTTACATATTGTCCCTTTTACGGCCACATGATGGCTTTGATTTACCACTTCTTGTGTTACATCCATATAAGTGTCTCTTACTAGCCAGATGATTCCATGGCAAATGATTCTCTGGGTCCAAAGACAGGAAAGTGAAAAGCACACAACCAGCTGGAATAAGAACTCCACTGCTAGTCACAACTCTCCCTAGGACCACCGAAATGTACTATTAAGGAGCTCTAGGATTCCACAAAACCCACAGCAAAATGGTGCCTAATTTAAAACATAAATTAGGAACTTCTCTCTGTTGCCAGTAGTTAAGGAAGTTGAACTTAAAAGGTATACTTTTCCTTTGAAAAAAAAATTCTGAGGAGTTTTACACCATGAGACGAACAGTCTGCCATCTCTTTACCGAATTTTTTCCTAGGCATTTTGAAAACACCATTTACAGGCATTGTAGAACACCAGGCAGCCCCTTCTTGGGTGCTAGATGGAGCTCCCAACCTTACAGTATGTACTGACTAACAGGGAGCCTCGCCTCCCCAGCAGCTGGTCAGAGGTACAGCAGACCCAGGCCCTGCTGGGTTTCCTTGGGGAGAGGAATTGCTCAGTACATCATCTCTGCAAAGATTGTCAGTGAAAACTCATGGTGAACTTCAGAAAAGTTGGTCACAGCCAAGAAAGTTCAGTGTTCTGTTTAGACCTAAGATATTTCCTTTTGCCATAAGCATAGCTCTGCTGAGACCTAAAATAATAAGGCAGACTTTTCAAGCTACCCTAAGATACTTTTAGAAGTGGTTTTTAATAGAACTACAAATCCTTAAGTCACATTAGCATTGTTTTTAAGGAACCACTTATAAAAGCCACATGCAATTGCATGTCAGATTTAAAAATTGTGTTGTCCATGTTTAGATATTTCTAAATCAGACATATTTATTTAAGAAATACTTTGTCAACAACTTTAAAGCCCAGCAATTTTTCCAGGGCTGCTTGGTCATTTTTAAATAAATACTCTGCTTATTCACCACAAATAGCCTGAGACAAACAACTGCATATTTAAGTCTGTATTAGGGTAGGAACCTTATCCAAATTCCATGTTATGGAAACTATTTAATCTCTTTGATGGTGGGAAAAATGGTAACTATGATCTAGCTATTGCCATACAGTTGACACTCCAATTCCTCACTTGGCTTTGTAGTTTAGGGCTTAAATACTTTTGTTTCTCATGAGGATCTTTATTGGTGACCAGAGAATCCAGCTTTTCTTAAAGGTTTTCCTCAAATAGAACAATTTCAAATGATACACAACTTTTGGGAGGCCCTGAGAATGAAATCTCTACCAGAGCAACCTTGAGGATGATGGAAGAAAAACATGCACTACTGCTAAGAAGCAGGGATGACCACAGGCACAGGCAGCCAGAAAGCAGAAACCCACACTGCCCGGCACACACCTCCCGACAGGAACGCAGCACGCCACACTGTTCTCGCACTGCTAGGTATCTAGACACAGCAGAAAGCAAGTCCTTTAAACAGGCAGCGGGACATTCATCTATAAAATTAGTAAGAAGCTTTACTTTTCTTTAACCTGGATTTCTTAACCATTTTTCCCTGTCCTCAGACACAGTGTCTTCATTTCAAGGCCACACAGTCTGACTGATTCCGACAAAGGTAGGTGATCTCAAAAATAAAATATATACAGTAGTTAAGTTTCTCGGTAGAGCTTTAACACAAAACAGTAGTCCCCACTGAACACAGAACATTACATCTCAAACTTGCCAACTCTTTACTGTAAGACTGAGGAATCCGTTTTCCAATTTAAAACAAAACGATGAATTTTGAATCTGCTCCCTTTATTTCTTCACACCGAATAACTAGATATAACTATGTCCCTAAATGCTCTGGTCTCCCATGGAGCTCTTCCCAAAGCCATGTCTGGCCAGGGGTATAAACCAGGCCTGAAGAGTCTGGACTGAGATAAACCTTCCCACACAAACTGGAGCCCAAGCAGCTGAGCACACATTTTTCCCAGGAAAGACAGCAATAGTCCTTCCACGTCTCACAAGTTCTTGAGATACTTGGAAAGAAGATTTGCCAAGCAAACCTTCCCCACACTGAAAAATGTTTATTCAGTGTCCAGTCTTTAAGAGTGTTCTCACCAGAGGTAATCTTTGATTTGAGGGTGTATTTTGAAACAAAGAATTTTTTGAACCCACTGACCTCAAGTCAGTGACTTAGGAGAATTGCGGTAGGAAAGCTGGCCCAATCTAAAAATTCCTGTCATGTCTTGGCCTACTGTTTGAACGCTGTAGTCACTAATACCCTGACAGGAAAAGCACTTCAGAGAAGTCTGGCAACTAATTCTTCTAGAAACGTCCATCCTCGGTCCTCACAGTCATCTACCAGGGGAGAAGCCTGCCCGCAGAAGTCAGAGAAAAGAGCCCTAGAACCGTCCCTTTGTCCTGGGACTGCTTGCAAATAAGAGCACAGATGTGAGGCCCTTGGAGGGAAAATGATGCAACTACCATGCAAAGAAAGCAAAAGTTTATTAGCCATCTAATAGAATTTAACTTTTTGGCTGTAATAAGGAATCATGTCTTTTATTAAATTACCTTCAAAAAGTATAAAATAAGTTTCCAGAAATCAACTCCAGGCTATAAGAAAGTCAGTTTTTACCACTTTGTCTACAAGACCCTCTGATCAGTATTTGTTTCTTCAGAAGTGCCGAGTCAAAAATGTGTCTAGGGAGCACAATTTTTGTGAAATACAAACCCCGGAATACATCAGGATAAAGCTTAGAAATGAGCAGATGTGTTTGCACTCTGAGGATGCAGGGGGTGGGGAAGTTTAGGCAAATCTCATCTTGACAGCAGGAAAAATTGCCTCCATTTTCCTTGGAGCATTTCCTGATGTGAGCTAAGGGCTCATCAAAACCAAGTGAGTAAAACAGGAAAAAAACTAGTCAAGGCAGCAGGCTGGGAATGAATGTGCTACAGTGATTTCTTTCCCCAGCTCTGCTGCCACTTCTGCCCCGCTTCTAAGGAAAGCAGGCTCCCAAGATGGCATTTCACTGGACTATAGATACACCTCATTCTACCTTCAGGAAGTCGGGTGATGACTGGGGAGGTGGGAGTGGTAGTTCGGCAGTGTCTCAAAGCCAATTCTGTCAGCAGCTCTTCCCTGAAATGTCTCCATCCACAGGACAAGTGTAAGTAAAACAGACTGCAAATGCCATGGTTAAATAAATTCAGTAGTGATTATAAATGGACCAGTCAAGAGGCTAAATTCTTAGAGAACAATTCTTTTTGGAATGTACAATGGAGACTAAGAGTGGAGAGAAAAGAGTTTCCAAAAAGATGTGGCTTAGGAATGGATCACAGAGGGTCCCTGAAGCTCCACCTTAAGTTCTTCAGGGACTGGTCACATGTGAGTGAGGAGAGTAAGAAGGAACAGAAGACAAAGTGGTGATGGAAGAGAACGTGTATCATCTACACCAATTACTGGAGAATGCAGGATGTCCACTAAACTCCAAAGAGCACCTGCACCTGCACCTGCCTTGCCACACTCAGGTCGGATGTTTTTAACTTGAGAGTGACCTATCCGTGCATGCTCTGACCTTCCTCCCAGACTTAGCATAGCAGAGGAGGAAATATAAAGCCATCCTCATCTTCAAGAGCCAATTGAGAGGCCTGAATGAGGCCTTTGGTCTTACCTAGGAAACACCACTGGTTTAGCCCAGCTGCACTGTGTGTTATTAGTGACTGAGCAGCCAATATATGGGGCAATTCGACTGGATACTCTGAATGTTCTTATGTAAAGAGTAACTGATGGAGGACAGATTACAGTCCTTGCAAAGGAGACCACCTTCCCCCTAGGATTGGCTGTACCAGGCTGTGACTCAGAGGCACAGAACTAGTACTCACTTCTTTTAAGACTTCACACTGTCCAAAGAATATGCTCTTCTATGTTGCCATGCTGAGGTCCAGTCCCAGCTTTTCCACCAGCAAAGCCAGGCAAGTGGGCAGGGCAGTTGGTTCAGCCAGGCTGAACACAATGGCATGGTTGGTGTTGCATAGATGAAAGGGAAGAGGGAACACACGTCTGCTAGAAGGGTGAACAGAACATCTTTTATCTAAATAGAATAGAAATAACAAAAACCTTGTAAAACAATCACAAAATTTACAAATAAATTGGTACAAAATAAATAGGAGAGATTGTACATCTACAACATCATTTGAATTATAAAATGCATTCATTATGACAATCAGCTTATTAATCCTATACATGTCATTTGTGCTTATTTAGGTTTATGTACACAGCTCTGCATACTGTGTTCAGAAAACTTCACTGCTCAAATGCATGAACTGTACACTATGATACAGTGAATAAAGGCTGAGAAGGATGAAAGTCAGACACAAAGCAGGGTCTTGAGGGCCAAGGCAATGTTGGCACTGGGCCTTAAAACCAAGAAAAGGCATACTAAGCCCAGATGGGCAGGCAGCTTCCATTATCCAGAAAGATAGATTCTGCAGTCCAAGGTAAGCAGAAGAAACCATTAACCTTGTTGGGCCAGGCAACTGACCTGCTTTGGGAGGAAGGAGGCTGTAGACTCAGCTAGACTCTGCCCTGCACAGGGGAAGAGAGCCTATCACCAAGAAACCACCTCAGAAACATTTCATGGAGGTACTTGAGAGGCCTTGCCACAAGGTAGACCTGCCTCCATCCTCATCCAAAACACGGGACCTGAAGAATACAGGTGGGCCCAACTAAAGGGGCTGGGGAAGCTAGGCCAACATAAAAGCAGCAACCTCTTTTTTAAAACAAAAAGCACTACCCTTTCACCTGCTTTAAGGGATAGCAGAACCCTAGGATCCATGGATGAGGAAGCTTCAAGATAGATTTTGTCCTAGTCACAGATGAAGTACTACCAGGCATATGTACATAATAAATAATATAAAATAAAGCATATATACTTGTGGGTTTAAAGGACTCCAGAAACAAGAAAAAATGGATAACTTCACCTTCACAGTAGACTTCAGACTTGGGAAGTAATGAATCAGAAGCTAGGCTGGGGCTCTCTGGGAAATAAGAATCCTAAGACTTCATTCTTTCCAACTTCACTCTGCTCTGGAAGCCTGAGCCTCCAATAAAAAGGGCAGGCACCCAAGCGCCACCAGGTCCACTGGATAGTTCTCTTCAGGGTGAATCTGCAGAGGAATCTGCCCCCTAAAGAACTGTATCCTAAAAGTGAATCCATGTGGATCAGATGTGGGCACATGCCAGAAGGTATCCTTCCAAACAAGGCAAGACAATACTCCCAGTCATTCTCATCTGTTCATGGTCCCAATGGGTATGAAAACCTGAAAACCTTGTGTAGTCAAGTCCTTCTTACAGTATGTGTTAGATCTGTGTACATATAAACCTTGGCATACGAACACCTAGAACTTTACTCTCTTGCAGCTAGAACCTTTGTTTCCATGTTGCTTCAAGTTCAACCTGGTATTTCCCATCAAAAGATATTTAGAACAATTCTAGTAGAGATGATGGCTATGGCTGTAGCACACAGAGAGAAGGCTTCCTTGAGCTGCGCCAACCACAGTGGTCTGAGAAGCAAAGAAGGCCCCAGCCTAGGATGGCGGGAGGAAAGCTGCTCCCTACTCTGCAGCTGCTGTGCACTGCCATCCCCTCTTCGCGTCCGTAGGGTTGACCAGGGACTCTGGAATATGAATCTTCAGATAGGAAAGAAGGTAGCAAAAGGGAAACAAGCAAGCAAACCGTGATTGAGACAGAAAGCTTGCAAGTGCTAGAGGAGGAAGGCTCGCCTGTCACAGCCTTGCTAAGTAACGGCGGCAAGCTCAGCCTTGGTGCACCACTCACCCCTCAAATGGAGGCAAATGAACCTCAACTTAGAAGTCTGCGAACGTCTCTCTCCTATTAACCAACTTCAACACCTAAGAAATACGAAAAGCTAAAGATTTGCAAACGGCCCTGAGGTATAAAAATCCACTGAGAAATTGCTCATTGATAAAATTATATCAGAAAACTTTCTGAATCCCCAAATCACTTTGCTATTCAACCCCCAATATCCCTACCAATTCCAGGTTAACATACAATTCACCCAGACACCCTTGACGGACAGAAGCACCACTAGCCTGGAGCCCAACATGGAACTACGTGGCCCAGGACAAGAGCCAGTTTCCTCAGGAAGTAAGCAATGGTACCTCACAGGCCTCCTGGACCCTAACCTGCCAGCTCAGTCTTGAATATCTCCTCAACCCTTTGCAAAGAAAAGCCCCTACCTGGGCTCAACAGCAGAGGGGAGTTTTTCTCATGCCACCAGGGGGCCTGGGTCATGCAACATAGTGTGCAAAGCCAGCCCTCCCTGGCCCGCTGTTGCTTGGAGCCCCAGAGAACAAGGTGAGCACCTTCCTGGGCCACCCAGGTGAGTCATCTGCCTAGGGTCACCCTTGGGGAACAATGGGGGCAATGCTGGTTGCCCAGGAGACCTCACCTTCCTGGGTCTAGGCAATGCGAGGATGGCTACAGATCCCCGCTGGCTTCAGATGATGACAGAGGTGGTTGTGTTTTTACCAGCCAGGACACAGGCTTGATCAGCCAGGGCCTACACAGGTCTGTTCCTCAACCTGGAGAGAGGATTTCAGGGCAGGAGTTCATGGTCCCTGCTTAGCTCCAATTCCTATTGCTCTATTTACTAGGGAAAATGTATTTCTATTTGTTTCTACCATTGTTTTCCTAGACTTGGAAAAGCTGGTCCTTTAGTGTACAGTGCTGAGGACAGCACGGGTAATATACTCACAGTTACTGTTCCACATTAGAGTGAAGCTCTGCATTCAACATTTGCACTGTCCCTTGAAGTCACATTAGAAGATGGTAGGACGCCCCACTCCCTCCCACTTGGGGATGCCAACCGCTTCCACATGGGCATTGAGCTCCCTGCAGGGAGTGAGGTGAGGAGGGAGGAAAGAACAGAGTTCAGTGTGGTATCCTTTCAAGTTCAAATTATGTAAGAACCAAGATTTGTTAGTTGATTAGCACCCCGATATCTGTGTCAGTTTTAAGATTTTGTTTTCCTAAGAGTTTAAATGCATGATTTTGAATTTGCCTGATGAATACAGGACAAAGCAGTGAAGGGAAGGAACCTCCAAGTCAGCAGGAGAAAAGGCCTCCTCATTTACAGAGCAAAGGCAGAATGTCCCAGGACTACCTGGATGCTAGGAATTTAGCTCCAATGGAGCCAGTGGCTGCTCAGGAGCAGGGGAGGCCCTGTCCCATCCACAGAAGCCCTGTATAGGAGGGCAAGGCCTCTCCATCAGTATCCAGAACTCAGAGGCCTGCATTTAGTCCACTCGACCCACACCCTTCTACACTTGAAAAGGTCGCAGCCGTGGGAGGACAGTCCAGCAGAGGGGGCTACAAGCAGCCACTGGACAGCAAGACTGCAGCTATTGGATGGTCTTTCTCTGCTGGACCCCACTGGCTTTGTAGAGGTGAATGGCAGAGGCCTTCCAAGCCAAAGTCATTCTCCTGCTGCCCGGAGAAGCAACAGCCCAGTGTCTCCTCCAACTGTCCGAGGGGTCAGTTTCCCGAGAGAAAGCGGGGCCTGGAAGAGGAATCTGGCCGTTCAGACATGGGTGCTGTCTGAAGGGTCCTAAGTTCTCCCCAAAGGAGCTGTTGGCTTTCATTCCTTCAGGGACCTGGCAGGAATTATTTTAGATTCCCTATTGTTATAAAACAGTGTGAAGAATAGAAAGTAAAGAGTAACAGAAAATGAATACAAACTTGGCAGGCTAAAATGTCATCCTTTGGGAGCCCCACTGATGAGCCACTCCTGCCAAGCTCTTTGTAAGAGAATAATTTGCAAGAAGCCATCACACTGAGCAGGTAAGACAGTAGTAAGAAGTCTGCTTCTCCCTGGAGTCACAGAGGCAGCCGCTGGCATCCCCCCTCCTCTCCCCAGACTCAGTTGTTTAGAATTTATAAAGGAACGGCAGAGCTCTGAAAACACCAACACACTAGCTCTGGCTCCAGAGGCTCCTCCCAGTAGCAAGGCATCCCTGAGACAACTGTGTGTGGAGAAGCAGACACGGGCCCGGATAGGTTGATAGGGCGGAGCTCCTGAGGCCACAGAAGCTGGGCTAGGCCGGGGGCCCAGCTCCCCGCAGCTCAGGGAAGGCCAGCACTGCGCAGGACCAAAGCAGGGGACAGACACCTTCCCCCAGCCCGGGGCCAGGCTTCACTGTGTTGCAAGGACCGCTCATATTTATATACTCCACACTGGTGGTGTGTTCAATAAGAGGCATCTTAAGAAACTGACTTTTAAATTTGAATGGTTCTATGTTTAAAAAAAAAAAAAAAAAAAAAAAAAAAAAGGATACTTAGACTGGGGTTCCCTCTAAGGTCAAGCTATATGATGGGGGCAGGTTGGGTGCCAGCAGGCCATTCAACACCCTCGGGGGTCCCCATGACCCTCTACATCAAGTGAAACCAGTACTTCCCCCACTATGGACATGGCACCTTCTGAGAAAGAACCTCCAGGACTGACATTGCAGAGGAAATACTGAGCTGAGTGTGCACGACACCGAGGCACAAACTGCTCACCAGGCACCAGCCCGCCTGCTGCCACCTGCTCCTCAACCACACTCCCTGCCCCGCACAGAGCCCGGCTGGGCTGGATGGACTTCCTACCTGGAGGAGGGAGAAGACTGCTGCTTAGCCAAGGCCTTGCTTCGCGCAGTGAGCCCAAACAGAAAACGCTGTCCCCTTCCTAGTGATGGATGCGGCGGGCACCGATAGTCCTATGTGAACACTGGCAAGTATGGTTTCATCTCAGTGTATGAATAGCCAACAACACGCACACATCCCTCGGGCTAACAGAACACAGAGAAGCTCTAGTTCAGGATTCAGTCACTCAAATACTTCCTGACATCACTTCACTACATGATGAATTTGGCATTAAAGTAAGACGGAGACACACATATAATGGCCACAACACACATTTGGTTTCTGAATCCCTGTTTGGGGCCAAACTGACCCTGGCTGTACAGGCAGCCTCTCTGGCGTCAGCCACATCTGAGGCGGGAGGCACAGAGGCCCTTAGGCAGGGGACACAGCCACTGCCGGGCCCCGTGGGCTCAGGGACAGGGGAAGAGGGACAGCTGGCTCCCTGGGAGGAGGAGCAGGGGCTGGCAATCCCCAAAGTTCCCTCCTTTGAAAACATGGGTCTGGAAATGCCTTCTCGGCACACGGTACAGAGTACAGCTGGAAGGTCCGGCTCCTTTTCTGATAACGTGTGTCCTTATCCCCTAGTGGGACGGGGAGGGGCTTGCACTCCACATCACGTGTTTACTGAAAAGCCCTGTGGAAGATTTCCATTTGGCATCTGTGTAGCAGCATCTCGGGTTAACAAGAGCAAGGACCAGGGAGGTGGGTGACGACACTCTGTGGGCTCGGGCGCTGGGTAAGGGGAGGGCTGGCTGGGAGACCCCAGGCTGGAATGACAGGGTGAAGTCAGCTTGCCTCTTGCCAATGATAAACCATGGGTTTTAAATTCATTAACATTCATTTTGGTGATAAAAATTCCTTAGGGTGGGAGCAAAATCACATTCCCAAGCAAATGTTAACTCTTCCTGAGGGAAAGGGTACAGTTAAACATTAAATTCTCAAAACCCCACTGAGCTCAGAGAGGTGACTGCGGTCCCTCTGAGGCAGGCTACGCCCCACAGTGATGACAGACTTGGCAGGTTCTGCAGTAACACGGTCTTCTTCATTGAGCCAGCGAGTTCAACAGTGGTACCCACTGGGGTACAGAGGAAGGGTGCCCCTCCCTGGGAGGGCCAAGGAAGGCCATTGGAGGGGCAAGTCCGGCCTACGAGGGTCACATCATGGGATCGCAGCAGAGTTCAGACAGAACAACTTAAAACTCTGCAAAAGACACTTTTTAAAAACATGATCTCTTGAAAAAATAAATCGCAACAATTTTCAACTTCATGCAAATCGAGGACAGAGGAGCATGAATAATGATAAAAGGGAGCGCTGAAAAAATAAACATGATTCTATTTGGGCGGAATCAGTTCATCTCCAAAATCTTGAACGCCATGCCCCGGCTGCCAACTCCACGCTCTTGTTTCCATTCCTCCCCTCTCCGTCCTCCTCCGCAGCTCCTGGGAAGGGCACCAGGTCTTTGGTCTCAGGATGTTGCGGGATGCAGCATGGCGGACAAGCTCACACCAGTGGAAGTCATGGGCAGACGGGGCTGGGCCCTCGGGAGTGGGCGGTGCAGGCCGGCGTGGCCTAGATGGCGCCTTCGCTGTGCAGGCTGTGGTTGGCCTTACTGTGTGTCACACAGTTCTGTTCGTTGAGTAGGTTGGCTGTCTCGTCTGGCAACCCGTCATGCAGCTCCGTAAGAGTCAATTCGATTTTAGTGTTTTCACTGTCTGAAGACTGAGGGGTTTTGTCCATCCGGGATGCCATCAAGGCATTTTGGTATTGCTGTCTTGAGATCTGGGGCCAGAAGACGCACAGAAAACAAACCAAGATAACGCTTATTTAGGTTCTTTTATCTCCACATCAGACCACACGTTAAATCCCGACAGGCCCACAGCAGCCTCTCTAGGAGAAAATCACACTTGAGCGCAGTGAGCCACTTTTTAAAGTTCACATTAACTTTGGTGAACAAGTCAGTTCCTACTGATGGAACCCAATTCCAAATATTATCTCAAAACTTTAGAGACTAGAAAATAAGAGACTGGTTTCCCCCAGCTAAAGCTGGCTTGTTCTCCAAAAGTCATCTTCATTTCAGACCAAAAGGAGAACCCTCACTGCAATCCTCTGGAGTCTCCTGACCTCAGCCTTCCCAGGGCCAGGCGGGGAGCCACCGGAGCCAAGCGCCCAGGAGAGCTCTTTGAAAAGGGGCTGTTCTTTTTTCCAGGATCTCCAGCTCCCGTTCCCTGAAAGAGCCACATTTGATTTGGCAGCTCACTGGATAGAACCAAGATGATCAACGTCTTTCTCAACCTGAGGCTTGGGCACAACAGAGGAAAACAGGGTTTGTAGTTGAGAATGGACGGCAGGGCACCCACAAAGTGACAAAGGGAGAGCTCCGAGGAGTCCCGGGAGCAAAACAGACAATTTTCCAGGGAAGCTGACATCTAACTGCCAGGCCCCGCCACGCGGCAATCACATCTCTCACCTTAACGAACTGCAGATCCGAGAGCGCTCGCACTGAGTAATCGGGGATGTAGACTTGGAGGAGCGAGGAATTGAGCTGGTTATTGCTGCTTCCCAGTGTTGGTGTGACAGCGTCAATCCGGTCGCTTCGACTGAGAGAGTCTGAGTGATTCAAGCCACATGGGCGAGGAGGGGACTTATTTTCACCTGGAAAAGGAGGGAAAAGTCCAACCATTTAAGTAGATATAGCCAATAAAAACAGCTCTTTATTTTCCCAAAATAAAAAAGACTCAATGCCACATAAGCCCAACCAACTTCTTCCAGACGTCTCAGCCACACCGTGCGCCACAGATGGTCTCCTATGCACAGCAGACGCGCTGGCTTCCCTGTACCAGCAGGCTACACCCATCTCAGCTGCCTGGGCCTGTGTATGTGACAGACACAATCCTCCCGAGTCTCTAACAGCAAAGACCCTGCACTGTGTGCCTGCGTGAGGAACATTCCCAGGTGTTGTGAGATGCTCAGGCGAGGGCAGGCCAAGGTCCGACATGTAGAAGCTGCCTGATATCAAACAGAGGCCACGAGAAGACTGCACTTCATCATTTTGCCAGAAGTAAAAACAAGAGACTCTTCAGAATATTCATAATTCAGTATGTGTTGTAAAGGGATCAAAATATTTGTCTGCTCATACCATACCCTCCAGCCAAACCTATTATCTTTGTCTCTGACCCCAGTAAAATCCCCCAACAGGTAGCCCGAGGATGTCTCAGGAATTCAAGACTGCTGGAAGACATTAAAGCCTTGAAGAGTCTGAATAAGTTATCTTGGGCGCTATGGCGTCTCCAGACAGGTTTTGTAGCATCCTTTCATTAAAACAAAGTGGAAGAATGCCAGTCTCGGTGTTGTTGCTCTTCTGGGGAGTTCATTGTTACTTCTAATATAAACGTCATAAAAAACGCCCGTCACCAAGGCTTCTTTCACTTTTTGCTTTTCTAACCAACTCTATTGTATAGATGGGAACTGCGTGCCCACCCCGGCCAGGTCTTGAATCGCGTCATATCACAGGATTGGAGGGGACCAATTCTCTCATCTGAGGCTTGGCTCCTCTTTGCAATGTGTCCCTGACAGATGCCCCCCAGAGGAGCTGGC